AATGAACATCAATAAGGTATTATACGTTTTCAGACATAAGTCCAAAAGTGCTAGAGACTGAAAACATATTAAATTCTTACTCAGACTCATTATGAAGAAGCCATTGTCTTTGTGAGTTATCAGTTTGGAGTGTCGTTGTTCTAATGTCTTCCTAATTGTTTCATTTGAATAATTTTGCGTATTGTTTTATCTAATTATTTACTCTGCGAGCAGAGTCTCCTTTAGACTCTGCTCGCAGTGTACTAATTATTTTACCTAGTGTTTCCTCTAGGTATATTTGAGGACTTTGTTTTCATTTATCTATCTCTTTCTTCTAAGTATTTCTTAGCATTAACCCAAGTTTTGGGATCTTCAGAGAATGTATATTGTTCGTTCTTTTTAGAAGTCGCTCATTGAGAATTTCATCTTCTTCAAGAGGTAGATTATTACTTTGGAGCGTTTTCTAGATTTCTACGGTGTGGATTTTGTCACATATTTTAATTGCTACTCCTTGAGACACACTTGTGAGATAAAGAGTTTTTTTTTAGGAATTTGTTAATTTGTTAATTTCTGTGGGGATTTTCCATGACACTGTTTTTGCCTCATAAACACGTCGTCCTATTTCCTTAGTTTATTCTCAATCGCTTATCTTTATGTCACCTCGAAACTTGAACTGGCATTAAACCCTTAAGGATTAGTGGATTTATTTTATTTTATTTTTGTTATCTTAGTGTATAGTTTTATACATTTTTTTACCGTATATTATGTGCAGGTCCAAAATGGCCGCGTCTTTTACATATCGCTAACTCGCGTGAGACTAACACTAACGCGTCTTGTGAGTCGCTATTATCTCGTAGCCCAGTTGTTGTTGAACTAGTTGGCTATGATTTGTGACACTTGCCAGCAAGTTTGTGACTACAGTAGTAAACAATAATGAAACAAATATGACTGGTTTTGTGAGGACATTCACAACTCTAAAAATTCGGTGTCTAAAAACTCAGTAAGAAAAACTAGAGAAGCAAGCGGAAAACATTCGAGCCACAGTAGACTTAAGACAAAATATTAACTATATTCACCTTTATTATTTAATGCTGCAAAGAACGTGTGTGATATGGAAAAAGACCATGCCTGATATGAGACCGTATCAGCGCTTCTCTCATCTGCTCGCGCTGGGTACGATAGGGTTTAGAGAAACGGTTTGAGCATTTCTTTGCAGAATTATATGACAAACAACTTATCAGTAGGTTAAGCATCTGATACGGCTTTGCATTTTTACTCTTCACTTGTATTTTGGCGCGTCTAAAAGGATCGCCAAAATACTCTGTGACTCGAAAAAATACACAGCCGTGTCAGATGTTTAGCCGACTGATAACCTCTATTTATCTCTACTGATTATTAGCACACTTGGCTATTGATGAGCGTGTCCAGGGGTCAATGACAAGTGGTTTATTTCTTCAAAAACCATAAAAATATTCTAGAGACCACTGATCCAAGTATTGCTAACCACAATCAACCTGATTCACCTATTCTTTCATTCTGGAGTCAATGTTTGTGAAGCGCACCCGATAGATAAACTTGTTTGGATTACAAATTCACAAACACAAAAAGACTTGGCTTGCAGAGCCAACTGATTTATTTGATGAAAGGACGCTATCGAGTCTATCTATCAAGGTCGGGGATTCCTGTTGTTCCATGTTGGAGATAAAACAATGTAAAATCTTTTGAAAAGCTATTCAAATTTATTATGTATTTACAATGACGCTTGGGGGTGAAAACGCATTCACCAGAAGATAATGCAGTGCAAAAATTAAATTGCCCTGTTTTTGACGTCGAAAAGACTTTCCTGAAAAGTGGCTTCTTAGACGTGAACGTGCCGACGGCATTTTAAACAATTCACGAATAATACTTTCAGTAACCATGGCAACTAAGTATTGCTCATAAAGTCCTCAAAACAGGAACTCCGAGTTAGACATCAGTAAATAATCACATAAGAGAAAAAAATATGATTCTCCTCGAGTAAACCTTTCCAAGTCCACTAGAAATCCTTATTCCCAGAAACACAGAATTATTTCCATGGAGGTAAATAAATTTTAATTTGTAAAATTTGTGTGTCAGTTGTTGAGGTACTTATTTTTATTTGATTGAAATTTGGTCGAATTATGGTGTCAGCGTCGGGGCGAGTAAGTTAAACAAAATTTGTGCCGACAAAAACACAAGGACGTTCGTCAAATCAAATACATTATTCATTCAGGCTCAACCAAATTTTGCCATAATGTGTCAAAAATCATTTTCGCGGTAAAAAAAAGAAATTATTTCAGACCTCCCTGGATTTTTTTTGTGACATTTGAAGTTTCCGCTCTTGCTGTTGTTTTTAAATCTTTTTCGATAGCAAGTACGTAGACAAGCAGGTTTCATTACTAAAGGACGCCAATTGCCTACAGGAATAGACTTCAATATCTCTTATTAACGTGCTTCTATACGTAAAGTCTATATTGCATTACTGTAACTCCCTCAAATGATTTTGTAGGCGTTTTCTATACTCTTAAGGCTTTGAAAATCGAAACAACAATCTTGGATTAGGATAATAATTAATGTTCAGCATTCATAAGATTAATTTGCGTTTTACATCCTAAAATTTTCCAAGGCTATTACTAGTTGCTCGGAAAATTAGCTCTAAGTTTCCGGCGAGGCAAAGCTGTCAAATGAACGTTTCTTACCTATTGTAGTTACCGTTACTACTGCAAACAAAAATGAATTTCCAAAATTCCATTCCAATTCCTCATCTCCCTTGACCTGGAAGTTCGGCCTATACGTTTCAGCCCACGTCTGGACGTCTTCCTCTGATATATTATACTTGTTTGTTATGCTTGTTCGTAAGTCCTGCTTATTTTCGAAGGATTGTCTCTGGTGGTCTTGCTCTAGTGCTTGAAAAACTGCTGCTCCAGCGACTAGATAAACAAGAAAAATAGAGGATCGGATGATGAGAATGATTGTGCTTTCAGACACTGCCATTCCTGTCTTGACATATATTCTGACAAGCGTTCTATTTAGTCGATGATGCTTCGGTTCGGTCTACTTGAAAAACGAACTAAGCCAACTGTCTACAGCCTTTTGAATGCTTGCTTTCCTGAATATTGCGCGGTTTTTGACGTAGATTCACATTCAGACTGTCACCAGTAATCTATGACTAACCACGTCTGTTGATAAAGCTTTATCATCTTAAACCCTCCGGATGTTTTGATTGGATACTTCGAATCTAGAATCTCATTAAATTTTAATAACGGTTTGGCCGGCTTGGTGTCATCATATTTGATTTCAGTATTTTACTATCAAAGTTTTTATATCTTCAAACAATTCAGGGCAAGGGGTTGGGACAATTTCTTGATACGTGAATAATTATGAATAATAATTTTTATTTTTCTCCTTAATTTTGTATCAAACACCAGTTTTCACATTTTATGATCTCAAAGGATTTCGGTATTGTTCGGGGAAAACCAACTATCCCAACCCCGTTATGGCTGCAAGCTAGGTCATTCGCAAGCATTCGCCCAAGAGATGTGAAACGACAAAAACTCGAACGTCGTAATGGTAGAACAATAGAAAGTCGAAGAAGAATATCTTAAAGTAGTCGCAGACTAAGCTGGCGCCTAAAAAAAACCCTAAAGTATCTTCCGTGCCTTTTTTTTTATACCAATCTTAGTATTTCCTCTGAAAATTTCGAAGTTCCTCACTTCTAACCAGCCGTCGACTCACTCCTTAGACAAATAACTTTTTATACCGAAATTATATTTTGATTTAGTACAATAATAGGTGATGGGTGATGAATATGTTAGTATTAGTGTAAATTGTATGTATTCAGCTGTGTCCACCAAGAAATTTACCCGAGCTATAAGTGCAGTACTATTACAGTGCAGTCAGGACACTCGACCCGTGAACAACTCGAGTTTTTTGTCAGTGGCTTTTATAAAATGTATACTTTTAGCCATCCCTTGAGGCAGTCTTGCAATTAACATTTATATTGATCGATCACTAAGTGTATTTAAGAGGGTTTGAAACAGTAAAAAGTTTAGGAAATAATAACCTGAAAGAAACTTACTTCACTGTTCAAGTGTCCTCACTATAAATGTCAGGATGATTATTAGTTGTATTGCCTGAGAATGGAACATATTGTATGGCGGTTTGAATTCTAAATATCAGTTCTACGATAGAAAAGCCTCTTCTATTATCAGGGTTACGCTATATTCATCACCTTTAATTTGATGTAAATGGCCTGCTGGATTATGAACTTTAGAGGGGGAAAATTGTAGGAAGGAAAGTCCAGGAAGTACGAATCAATGGTGGTGTCACCTCAAACCTGCACCAAAGTTAAAGCAGCTTTTAAACCCTTCTTTTTAAAGATTCTAGGAAACCTTGGCGACCTATGTTTGGTCCTTTGAGTTTAACAGAATTATTTAGATTTTCTCAAAGCGTAGGGGAAACTGACAAACACAGGCCTAAACATTGTCATAGCATAGTTATTAATTACGTAAGTTTTAAAATGCAGTTTGACGGTTGTACATTGGCTCAAGTTGAAGTGTTTTTCGACGAGTGGTGTGGCAGTGAATTAAAAAGCTAGGAAAAATTTTATTGGAAAACAAAAACAAAAACAAAAAAAACAACAACAACAAAAAAAAAACACAAAAAAACAACAACAAAAAACTTGGAAAATGGGGGAAAACCGGCTGAAGATGAAACAAGATACAGAAAGGCAATCAATTGCAACCATATAGGAAAGATTGCAGCCCACAGAAAAATCCTTATGTGAATGTCTTAGAAAACACTAATCATTTGGATCCAATCATTTGAAGAAGATGGAGCATTATAATACAGCAAAATAGTTTACAAGCGCTCGAAAAAGATCCCCAGATGAATTCGGATAAATGGTTGTGGCATAATACGAAAATCTAAGAAGAAGAACTGAATCTAAGGTCGTATTTACCGCAATACACTCTTTCAGACGAACTATATAGAATAAGCAAGAAAGGTTGTTGTGTAGATTAAGAGATAAAGATCGGTAATTATTGCTAGGAAGCCTAGTAGTTTCTTTTGTTTCCCATCACTTAAGATGGTAGATCAATCAAGGCCGACCTTCGTTACCAAAACAAAAAATATCCGGTTTAATTAAACACCATGGAGCCAGCTCAGAAACAAGCATCTTGTAATAAAAATACCTTTCCAAAAAGTCTTATTTGCGGCCTGTCCACTTGGCCTTTTTCATCATGTACAATACATTATTGATGAACTCGTGGAGCAAGCTCAAAACACTCGCATCTTGCAATAGAAAATACCTTTCCAAAAACACTTAAGTTACGGCTGTCTATCCGACTCTTCCACTTCTAGTTACCTTTTTCATCATGTTTTCAATACATTATTGAGGAATTTTACTTTTACAGTATCATATATTAAAAGGATGCTCTTAAAAAGATATGAAGACGAAACTTGTTATTTTGTGGCAATAAGCGAATGCATGATGTAATTGTTTTAAAACCAACCACTCAGAATATTATCTATATTGCTCCTTACATATATAATCAATTCTTTTTATGACCATTTTTTATTTCAAATTTTTAACATAACAAGGCCCTTGAACTCAATATTTCAATCGACACTTTTTTTGCTATTATGACTGACCAACAAAAGAAAACTAAGCCTCAAATTTGTACTGAATCGTTTCAGTTATGCAATACGACCCAAACTTTTCAGTCTTAAAGGTATGCGAACTTTACGTTTAGAACCAGCTGTCGTACACTAGGTTTCATAGCTGCCAATCAAACGTGTACGAAATATATCAAGAAAGACGTATGACCGGCTTTTGATTGGCAGCAGCAACGTCGATTGATTCTATTTTTATTTCATGTCTCACTTTTTGATTAATTGGAACTTTGATTCGTATGTGTTTAGTGTTTTGGTTGTTTTTGATCCTCCAACCAAGTAATTGAACTTTAAATCTGTAATTTCAGGCATTTTTTGCTCTCTAGCTATTTCTAAAAGCCATTACCCTCAAATACTTCATTCATATTTAGTATTTTAAATATTTCTTTCAAGTAAAATGTCCAGGGTATATAATAAAGTTGAGGGTGCTGTTGTGCCGAAAAAAAGTTCAATTGAATCACAATAACTATCCCCAGAAAACATTTATAAGGGACGGACAGATGTTTGAGGAGGGGGGG